ATTTTACCCCTTCATGCTAATGCCAACTTACCTTGTAAGCTTTCCTTATATAGATTATTCTCTCCTCAATAAATTTATTTCCATACTTACATTGCAAAAAAAAAGGCTATTATACAGTAGAAAAATCTTATCTGCACTCAAGATGCTCCTTAGAAATAGAAAATAAACTCTGATTCAGACTTGTTTTCACCCGTTTTTCTCTTTGCCTCCGGTTGCAAAACCAAACTCTTACTACTTCTTTCTCCAGATTCAGTTCTTCAGCCATCCGCATGATCTCTTGAGAAGAAGGTTTATTCTGTTCTCCAAAGTGTCGCTCCAGAGCATCTTTAGCAGCAATGCTGGGGTGGGGTGGACATAAGGGGTGAAATTATGTTGTTTTTAGTGAAGTTTGTGGCAGATCAAAATTAAGGTAGGTTGAATTTCCTAAATATTAACATGAAAAGGAAACTAAAAACTCTGAACATACTTGCAAGACACTTTACAAGGAAAAATGTATAGTTTGTTAAATGTGTAGATGTTTGGTCTTATGCAAGGTAGAGTTGCACCAGAGTCACAGAAAGAATTAAGTAAGGGACCCAGGCTTTCTATGTGTATCCCACTTTGTGCCACCAGAGGGCACTGAGTTCATGAAAAGAAAATGAACATTTTCCTAGACATTTCTAAATAGCTCCCCAAAATCATTTAGGGCTGTTTTCAATAAAGAAAATCTCTAGTGAACAACTGACCAACCAAAACAAAACCTGTCTTTTAGTATTTCCTAAGCATGTCTCACAAAAACTACAAAAAGATCAATGAACAATCTTTCTGGGTTGAAATGCAAGAGGTCATGTTGAACTTTAAGAGACCGAAACACTGATTACTAGTGTCATATTTTTAAATACTACAGACACCGTGATATACATTGCAGAGCAATAAGTTATAATCTAAAGAAAAGAGATATGGGCCCACTTCTTAGAAATGATTGTTTTCTTTCGTTTGTAATTCATAATTTCTGGAGCAAAAGCTGTTCTTGAATCAAACAATACATAATTTTCATTATCAAATGTAAAAATTATTAGCTCTCCAAATTTCTTCACAGGTTATTACATTTTTTTTTTAACCGCATCCTGTTTCTCATTAGGACTGTTTAGTTTATTACTTTTATTTTATTTATTTATTTTTATTATTTATTTTATTGTTGAGACAGAGTCCGCTCTGTTGCCCCAGGGCTGGAGTGCAAGTGGTGCAATTCTCGGGTCACTGCAACTCCGCCTCCCGGGTTGCAAGCCATTTCTCCTGCTCAGCCTCCTGAGTAGCTGGATTATAGGGCACCTGCCCAGCCATGGGGACCGGCTAAAGTTTATTTTGTATGTAGTAGAGACAGAGTTGTCACCATGTGTGGCCAGAACTGATCTCGGACTCCTGACCTCAGGCCCACCTTGGCCTCCCAATTCGCCTGTACATTTCTATGTTATGTTACACCCTGGCATTCAACTCAAGTGCTCATTCCATTTATAAAATATCAGTTTTGTCCTCGAGTAACGTTTTAATATAAAGAATACCTTATAGTTGTTCTTCGTTTTTCTTTTCCTCTTTCATTGGCTCCCACTTTTTCATTGTAACAAAGCGTATAATATGTTGGAAAAGAGAGGATAATTACCAAATACAAAGTAGATCGTTATAAAAAAACTATTGATTTTGGATTTCAAATTGTTTTTCATAAAAACGAATGCAAAATAAAATGCCCAGACATTTTTGTCTTAAATGTTTGCAGTCTAAGTCATTTTCTATTACAGACTTTAGTGAAAAATATCAACGCAGAAATAAATGTTAACCTCGCAAAGGCACTTTCTACAAATAATATCCTCACTTTACTTTTGTTGGAATGCTTGCTGTAACTACTCTCAAACCTCACTGTTTATCCAGCTCTGACATTTGTATGAGTAGATAATTGTATCTCATTAAGTTGCATATCTAGCAATTGCTTATATTATTTACTTGGAAGACTCGTGTGTGCAAATGTTTTGTGTACACTAATATTAGGATACAAATGTGATTCATATATAATTTCTCTAGTATAAAAGAGAGGAAAAAAATGGATGTGTAAAAAAATAAGCATTTTACCCCTTCATGCTAATGCCAACTTACCTTGTAAGCTTTCCTTATATAGGTTATTCTCTCCTCAATAAATTTATTTCCATACTTACATTGCCCTTCCTTTTTTGTTGTTGTTTTTAGTGTGATATAACAAAATGTTTGTTTTTCATCTCAAAGAGAAAAGGAGGAAAAAAAAAAATCCCTCAAACTTCCTGCTTTAGCATTAATCCTACTGATTGAAGCCATTATTTTTAGGTTAAAACATAGCACTGCCTTCAGAGACACAGTTAAGTACCTCCTACTTGCTCAGCTTCCTCCAGCCATTTGGATAATATTGCTTTCAGTTTGCATGCATTTTTAAAGCTGAGCTGCAGATTTTCAAATCGGCAGATTGTTGTTTGACTGAATTCAGAGCCATGCACAGCTGCCAGGGCCTCCCCAACATTTGTTTGGGTGTATCCTGTGAAGGGACAATAAAGACCATCAGCTCCAACTTTCCAAAAAATGTTAATTTTGGTTCATTGTCACACAAATCTTTGTATCTTTGTCAACTATTACATACTGTTTTTTAACTATATAGTCTTGGCAAATCAGAATTATTTAGTAAGATTCATTATACTTTCAAGTACTTGTCCAATACTTCAAAACATATTTCTTCTAGTTAATAAATTACTTTTATCTACTCACCGAAATAATTCAGATAGAAACATCTGCCATTCATAATATTTAGCCAGTGTTTAGGTGTATCCTAAACACTTTATAAGGCACTTGAAAATTACAGCTCTTTTTATCATTATTGTTAAATATCAAATAATATATGCTCAAAAATCTTTAATATATTAACTATAATGCATAAAATATATGGTTATATATCATAAAATTTTTTATTTCAACTCTAAAAGATTCAATGATATTGTTGAAGGGTACTAAATAAAACTAAGAATTATTCTGCTTTCCCTAAAACCGTGTTTATTAAGAGGTTATGATTACGCATTTCACATATACCTCTGAGCCCGTTTTATAGTTTTTGGTATTGCCTCTATCTTCAGACTAATGATCCTTATTGTTTGTCCGAAACATTTTTAGAGTACAGCTGAAATAATCAACATATAATTTGAAACATTCACAGTAATATAAATAGCAAACTGAAAATGAATTTCACAAAGATCCCTACTACTGTGTTTATTACATGTAATAGCTACATATTATTTCAGGACCTAAGGCTATATACCTGTATGTATAAAATGGTTGCATATGATGCCCATCAATAAATATTCTTATTAAATTACCTATGGTTCATTCTGCAAGTGCAGAGTTTTGAACTGTTATTTCAATCCATTAAAAAATATACACAACTTTAGGCAATTTAACCAAAGTTAATTGTTATAGTTGTTTTATTTTAAAAACACTTCAATAGAAAATGAGCAAAGACTCTGAACAGACAGTTCACAGAAAAAGAAACTTAAGTGATTGTCAAGCACATTAAATAATACACTTTACAATCATAATAAAATAAATTTTAAATGAAATAGCAGTGAAATGTCACTTTGACCTGTCTGATGTGCAAAGATCTAAAAGATTAACAGCATATTTTTTCCTTCAACCACCATTTACTTATTTTGTGTTCTAGTTACACTCTTCTAGATGCTGGAGATACCATTAAGCAGAAAATAAAAAGAAATAGATTTTAAAAACTCATGCCGTTTTGGAGTCTATATAGCCTGAGGATGTTGAAAAAGATTCTCATGGTGACAGTAAAATTTGGTACAGCTTCTCTAGAGACCAGTTTGACAACATCTATCAAAATTACCAGTACACATACTTTTGATCAAGCAATTGTGCTTCTAACATTTTTCCTGCACATTTATTTATATGGGTGCAAAATAACATTTATAGGGTTAATCATCGTGGCCTTGTTTCTAACAGTCAAAGATCAGAAACCACCCGAATTTCATCAGGAGAGGACTGGTCAAATAAATTGCAGTATATTCATAAAGTGAAACTTGACAGCTCCACAAAGGAAAAAGAACTCTAGAAAAATTACTACTGAAAACTTCAAATAATACTTATGTTGGGCACAATATATATATTTGCATATCTATCCATGAGCTATCATTGGAAAGATACACAAAGAACTAACAACAATGATTAACAGAAAAAACAAGCAGAAGGATACATGTCACTTATACTCTTTTGTACTTTTGAATCATATAAAAGTATGGCCTCACACATTTCACTACATATTAATATATCAATATGTATGGTTCAAATAAAATATAGATAAAAATGGGCACTTCGAAACTAAAGTTGAGGTGGGTAAGTTTTGAAAGAGTATTATTAATTTAAAAATTATGTGTTTAGGCTCTTAAGAAATTATCAATAAACAAAGGTTTTTGGAGGATTTCCATAACAATTAACTACGTCCACAGTAGAGATGAAGAATGACAATCATCTTATACATTTGAGTAACATATAAGAGATTTAACAGCAATAAAGATTTGCAAACCAAGCTCTTTTTCCTGTTGCCTTTAACAAGCACATACCTAACTTAATTCTTCTCACTTTAAATTCGTTGGCAAACTTTTCGAGTTCTCTGATTTCTGGAGAATCCATGTCTATTGGCTCTTCCACCAATTTACTTTTCCGCCTGAGTTCCTGCTTGAAATCGGCAGCTGTGGGGTCCTCTGCCAGGAGAGGCTGGTGTAGAGGAGGAAATCCATGACTCAAAGTGTGGTCAGGAAATTTATAAAGACAAGGGGTTAAACTACCTGTGAGTAAACAAAGAAATAAAATGAAAAAGACCAATTGTAATTCTTCCTTATTTCTATATAAGAAAGGATTTTGCCTGATTTAGCCCATTATTCTGCTCTAGCCTGTCTCAGTACTTAAAAGGTTACCTTACATATAGTCTTCTGAAGAAGGAGTCAAAGGAGCTTAGTAGAATTGAGATTATTTATCTTCTACCTTCTCCAGAGCAGCAACACCAAAGATAGCGTTAAAGGAAAGAAGCAGGGGACTGCGAATAACTAAAATAGAAACAAACAACTTCTCTCGGAAGTGTACATTTTCTATCATGTTTTTCTCTTAAATGACACCTATTCCTGGGAATCTGAGGTTGAACTCTAACCAGAATCTATGCATGGAACTCTGTTTTCTTAATTCACTGAACAAATAATGGGTGATGTTTGTTGTAATCATGGCACTAAATGCTTCAGCTAAGTGCTATGCTGAGAAGTTTTCTTGTGATTGGGAAATTGATTTCACAATATAAAAATGCCCCCCTATTTAATCAGTAAAAACTTGATTTTATTAGGAAAAATCACATCTTTTTTAATTAAATGAAGGCAGGCAGAAAAAGAATGATAAGAATATAAAATATATTAATATGGCTAAATAGGCTTGAGGAATGATTAAACATTAACAAAAGGTAACCTCGAAAGTTCTATTAAAAAGTCACTAACAAGATTTCTTGAAAAATATACAATATAATAGAATAATTTCTTGATTATTATTTAAGGAAAAGCAAAAATAAGTAGCAAGAAAGTTTGCAACTTTATATATGATAAGTAATTACCCATAAATGATAAAGCATTGACTCTATTGAGTGGATACGTTAAATCACAAAAAATGTAAAAAGGTCTGAAATTATTATACAATTGCTTCCAGACTTCCTTCTTCATTGGAAGAGTCTATCTCAGTTGGGAAGTATAGGTGAGAGAGTCGTATATAAGCCAAATTCCAACACATTTTGTTTCTTGTTTTCTTTATCAATGCATTACAATTTTTACCGACAAAGATTTTACTTTAATTTATATTAAATGACACGTCTAGTGTGCCTTCTGTATCCATGGGTTCTGCATTCATATATTGATGCAACAGTGGATTAAACACATTTAAAAAATAAAGTAAAAAATAACAACACAAGAATAAAAATGATACAAATAACCCAATATAGTATGACAATTATTTACATAGCATTTGCATTGATTTAGATATTATAAGTAATCTAGAGATGATTTAAAGTAGAGAATGTGCCTAGATTATTTGCAAATACTACACCATTTTATACCAGGGACTTGAGCATTCGAAGATTTCAGTATCGTTGGGGGTCCTGGAACCAATGTGCCACATGTATAGAAGGATGATTGTGTAAGCAAGACATTTTTATACAAAAATACTGAGTAATTAATCCTTTTCTTATAAGTATAAATATTTTAAAATAAATTACTATGGAATACATGCAATAATGATTCTTAGAAACTTACTGAAAAAATGCATCCAGAGTTCATGCCACCTATAATTACTCTACACATACATTCTCAAGTCAAAGACATGAGTAATAGTATATTTTCCAGAATACATAAATCTTACATTAATATATCAATATGTAATGAGCAAAGAATACTGCAACTCAGCAAATTGTTGGTTTATATTATTTATATAAAAATATGTAATTATAAAGTGCACCCCATCTAAAAGGGCATATTATTTTTCTAAAACAAAGTAAACATATAAATGAGAGGTTAAACAAATCAGCATAAAATAAATTTGTCTGCTTTAAAGCTGGGAAAAAGATGTGAAAGCAACTATTTTTGTCTTTAAAAAATTCCTGCTACTTTTACAAACTAAAATTATCCAGGTTTACTTTTGTAAAAGTCAGTCAACTATCCAGTGTATGCTTTATTGTGTGGCATCTTGATCAGACCAGAGAACATTCTTAAAAACAATTTTACCAACTTTCCTTTTATTATATAGCTTTTCTTCAAAATGTTTATTGCTGTGGGGTTCATTTTTAGCTTTTTATTAATTTTAGTTTTCTGCTAAATTAAAAGAAGGACTAATAGATGTAAAAAGAAAACTGATGACATTTATGTTAGCATCTATTTAATCTGATATTTATCTGAAGAGTTGTTTTGTGCTTATACTTTCAGAATTGATTTGCACATATATTTATAAAACTTTCACTTCTTTTATTATTAAGGTCCATCAGGTATCACTTAATACATTTAATGATAAAATACCCTGAGAAAGAGTACAAAGAAAAGCCAGGCTACTGTTAGATTTTGTACATTTAACATATTTTAAGACATTTTAGATGACTCATTTAACCTATGTCAAATTATGTTTATTTTATATAAACAATTTGTGTGTTTTTTACATATGCATACTATAAGGTCTGAATTTGTTATCAAATTTTATTATTATTTTCAATTTCTCTTGCTGATCATAATCATGTACTGCTACAAATCTTCTATGTAACATTTTGTGTTGCGTTAATTTCACATTTGTCATATTTGTCTTTATACAAAAAAAAAAAAGAGTCAGGAAAGATATATATTTTTCCCCATAATTTACAATGTAGAAATTTTAAGTAGAAAGAAATTAAACAACTTGCCTTCAGTGCCCAACGAATTAACTTTGCAGTTTAAACCAGAACTAAAGTCTAATAAGCATTGCAGCAAGCCACATCAAAATAATTGCCTGGTTCATTTTCCAGGCAGTTTATACTCACTAAATTAAATAACTTCCCTTTAAAAGGTTTTTTCTGCATTTAAACACCTTTGGCTATTTTAAACAAATGCTTTTAGACAAAATATATTACAATAAAATGTATATAAAGTGTGTCATCCCTATTTCCATAAAATTATTTATTGATTTATTGATTTATTTATTTTTGCTTATTTATTCTTTATTTTTAGAGATGAGGTCTCACTCTGTCTCCTAGATTGGAGTGCAGTGGTAAAATCATAGCTCACTGCAGTCTCAAATTCCTGCCCCAAGCTGTCCTGCCACTTCAGCATCCTAAGAAGTATCTACAGGCATGAGCCACCACGCTCATCTAATTTTTTAAATTTTTTGCACAGATGGGATCTCACTGTGTTGCCCCGGCTGGTCTCAAACTCCTGGCTTCAAGCAATGCTCCCACCAAAGCTTCCTAAAGTGCTGGGATTATAGGTATAAGCCACAGAACCCAGCCACAAAAATTGAAAGGTAGTTTATACATTGTAAGTACTCTGGTGAAGTGGACACACAGAAGGCAAATTTGAATGGAATCCATGAAAAGTACACAGAAAATACCATTCTCCAAGGTTTGGCATTCAGAACAAGAAGCAAAATGTGATGTGTGATACAATTTTTCTTTTTTTCGTTTTGCTTTTGGTTTCTTTTCTTTCTTTTTTCTTTTTTTTTTTTTTCTTTTTACAATTTTTCTTTTTTTCGTTTTGCTTTTGGTTTCTTTTCTTTCTTTTTTCTTTTTTTTTTTTTTTTGGAGACAGCGTCTTGCTCTTGTTCCCCGGGCTGGAGTGCAGTGGTGCCATCTCAGCTCACTGCAACCTCTGCCTCCTAGCTTCAAGCAATTCTCCTGCCTCAGCCTCCTGAGTAGATTGGACTACAGGCGCCTGCCACCATGCCTGGCTAATTTTTGTATTTATTTATTTTTTTATGTATAATTTTATTTATAATTTTTTGTTTAGAGATAGGGTTTCACCATTTTGGCCAGGCTGGTCTCAAACCCCTAACCTCAGATGATCCACCTGCTTCGGCCTCCCAAAGTGCTGGGATTACAGTTATGAGCCCTGCACCCGGCCCACTTTTATTTTTCATTATATGAAAATATCTACAATTATCTGCAAGGTCACAGATTTCCTGGAATTCACTTCACACAGAATTTCATCATAACCATTTAAAAGAACAGCCAAATGAACTTCTGTTTCTAGCATCTGAGCCTGCATTTGGGGGAGTGTGGAAAGTGATTGGGATGATACGTATAGCAATATATGTTTCAAATCTTTTTAAAACCTAGGTTACTGAAAAAGGTGGAAATAAGATGAAAGATGTGGTGAGTCATGTGCAACAGAGATCTAATCAACATTTTCTGAAACATGGATAAAGAAAAATTATCTTGAGGCCTGAACAGCACACACACACATAGCTTGGAAGTGTTTGCACACTGTAGTTCCAAATACATTTTCACATTGAAGATTAATTCACCAGAGCCTTTCTAAATTGCTGTGTATGCATTTCTGTGTGACAGAGGAGGGAGAAGAACAGAGGTAAATCTTTTAAAGCAGGCAATGGGGGTCAGAGATAGGACTTGCCTTACTAGGCGCTGACTCAATGTACCATAGCATGGGACAAATTGATCTTTGCAGCATGTGGTTAGCTTACAACATCATCTCAGGTTACTGGCTTGATGCCTTAAAAAAACAAACAGGGGAAGCAGAGGGACACAGTAACGTACACCACCCTGCTGTGCTTGTAACACGCACAGGAACATGTATCTGAATATTTGCATATATTCCCCTGTGCTCCTTAGGCATAAAAATTCAAAGGAAATTATATACTTTCACTGTGATCTTTTCACTAGTGTGCACTGGTAAATTCTATCCATGTACAACAGGGGCCCATTGGCTGTTTGGTTTAATTTGAAACGCCTATTTCTTTACATACAGCCTGTGACTGCTTTCCTGCTACAATGACAGAGTTGAATAGTTGCAACAAAGACTAGAAAGGTTGAGATATTTACTGTCTGGTTTTTTACAGAAAAGGGTTGCCAACCCCTAGTCCAGAAGTGAAAATACATCATGTTACTGCTACCAAAAGACCTTTCATGATGCGGAAGTGAAAGATCTTCAGAATTACTTGTTTCCTTAGAGTTATTACAACCAGAACAATTTAGGGCCAAATAAAGCAAAGAACTAAGGAAAAGAAGTAAATTAAGAGAAAAAAAAATTCAAATTTCAAAAAATGAAAAGATGGGTTCCCAAATAGACTATACCCCCTGTCATTTGTCAGGCTGATTTCCATTTTCTTTTGCGTTAGCCCATGCAGCGAGAATATTTTTAGCCATAACAATCTTTTCTTTTAATATCCATTTCTCATCAATAAGAATTGGATGCTCATCACCTTGTTTAAGAGTTTGGGACTTAAACGAGGTTTTCGTTTTGTTTTGTTTTCCCCTTGAAATTAATTTTTAAAGCAAGGACTTTCACACTACTTCTTGGTTTGACCACTACATCATGTAAAGAGGGTGGGTTTAACATTCATTACAGTGAGGTTGATTTGCTGTTTCCACAGGACAGCGGAAAGGGTGAACCCTCATTGAGCTTGTTTCCTGAATTGTACTCTGCTTCAGATACTGGAGAACAGAAACGATCTCTCAGAAACCCAAAAGTCAGGGTTTTGAGAACTTTTTTCTGATATTTTGTTTTGTTTTGTGTTTATCTAGGAGAGACTTTGAACAGCATTTGTAATTCTCGATTTTTTATTATTTGTAGTGTAAGGTGTTGCATTTGAATTCTCTAAGTTCTCAGGAGTGAAAGGACAGAAGGAATGTAGCTGCAAGAGTATCTGAAGAGAAGATCAAAAGAGAACTCATTTTGAGCTGACACAAATTTGCTACTACTCAATCCCAATAGAGTTGTAGTACCCACCACAACTTAGATATGAAGAGACTGAAACTCAGAGGTTCTAAGTCATTTGAACAATGTTAGTAATTAGTTAATGGTATGGATAACTCATTACTCTCAATTAGTCATTCTCTTTATTTTTCCTGCACCTGGACTATTAGGTACGGTGAATTCATCTGATCATTAAAATTCTACCTACCAACCTGACAAAATATTAGTTATAGCTCTTCTTTTCCTGTGAGTTATTAATTTAATGAAATGCTCAAACTAAATGTAAGCATCAGAGTATGGGTAATGATATAACCATATGAAAATAATTTCATATCTTTTAGAAATATAGTTCTTTCTGTAGTTTCACTTTTATATAGAGTATGTGACACCATGTCATTGTTGTTGTTAAGACACTTCTGTGGATTGTGTGGAAGTGGCTGATTTGATTAATGCCTTAAGACTTCTCAGAAAATTCAAACGACATAATCAAGTTTCTATTGTGTACTTTATATATTTCTCTCTTATTTACCTTTTTTCTCTTATTTCTGAATTGCTGTATTTTGTAACTCAATTTATGCAGGTTTACTGTGGATAAAGGCAAGAGAGTTCAGATTCTCCTAGATCTAATCTCTCATGAGGCAAATGCTAATACTGAATTATGTCCCAGTATAGACATTCTGACATTTAAAGCATATCACATTTTAACAAAATTTTTGAGAGAGATTTAACAGTCCCTCTCAAAAATATTCAAATATCTTCTTGCTTGTGATGGTGAGTTTTTCTTTCACTCGTAAAATATATTTAATTTTAGACCGCAGTGATAGCTCCAGACCTTGGTGTAAGACTCGTGCTGTTGATGTCACTAAGCCAGGGTTTTGAATCATTTTGAAAGGCTCTTCCGGGGGCCTTTTCATTTTAATTGTAATGAGGAAGCGGTTCATGGAAGAGGGTTTGCTGAGTTCCTGCTGGAGGAAACTTGTATCAGAAAGACATGAGCTGCCAACACTCTCCATGTGAACATTGGCATATTGGCTCCAGTCCTGGGAGCAGGAAGGGTGTTAGAATTCTGAGGCCAGCAGCAAACTCCCGAGGCCAGCGGTGGCCCTCTCTGATTTGGCGGGGTGGGAGGTGGTAGCAAAACTATCTGACGGTATTTGGGCAAGAGATTATTGGCTGCTGGTCTGTGACTGGTTTTAATCTCGGTGCCAACCTCAATCAACTGGCAGGGACTGCCTCTGTGCTGGGTTAAGAGAGAAACTGACGATGTACCTTGGTTCCTGGGAGTTCCTGTAAATGAACTGTGAGGTCTTTCCTCCAGGAAATAACAGCATGTGTTTGTCATTTCCTGTCTCCTAATCCAAATGTTGTAAAGGCCACAGAAAGCATTCCACCCGCACCTCTAGTAGCTAAACACATTTGTTTTACTATTTTATAATGAAAGTAGTTCATCATTGAGGAGGGCTATTCTCATTAACTATGAATACTATTTAAGCATGTTGATCATAAATAATCCATTTCCAGAGAGGAAGAAAAAATATGGCTTTATTTCTTAATTGTTAAAAAAAGATATCAGAATTTACAGGTCATCGTTAAGAACCCCGGTCTTTATTTAACCATAAATGTTAGGATACTGGTTTATTAAGGAGAAACTAATATTTTCCTGGATTATTATTTTAAAGTTTTAATGTTTTATTTAGTCTTAAGTAGACAAATTTTGAGACATCAAAGGTTAAACAATTTAATTAAAATTAAACTATTTGCTCCATTTTACTTGAAAAATTATAGGAATAAATCAATATTTGCCTGCTGTTTTTTGTTTGTTTGTTTGTTTGTTTGTTTGTTTGTTTTTACTGCTTATCTGGATGATAACAAAACACAAGTCAGTTAGAAAAGATTTCCCTAATAGATGATTCCTTTATCCAAAGTGTCTCCCTCATTATCACACACATACACATGCACACACACATTTTCTCACACAGCTTTAGTTTATCATCAATAAGAGTTCTTTTCAAAGAATTTCTTTAAAAATAAACCAACAAATGAAAATCCTGTGCATAATAAAACTGCACTTTTTAAAAATGATTAAAATCTTATGTAGCCATGCCATGAAATTAAGCAAGAATTTTTGATGAATAGATCTCATAAGCCAGATCTGCCTATTCCTCAAAAACTGTGCTTCAATGGCTTTCTAGAAGGATCAATAAACAGGTAGCTATACTTGATACAGTCATACTTTACTTATTTATAGGAGAAAAGTATGTAACTTCAATGATTTCAATCTAAGACTCATTCAGAAGCAATTCAGAAGGGGCTGCTAAAGCCTGAAACAGCTATCACTAAAGCCCCTGCCAATCACTCTGAGCTTCAATCAATGTCTTATTTATCTTTATGGACCAAATGTCCAGAAGGAATATAATGATGAGGGGAGGTGTTCTGTACACCTGTGCTGTCTGATATGGGAGTCACTAGCCACATGTGGTTATCGAGCACTTGAAATATAACAAGTGCAACTGAGAAACTGAATTTGAAATCTTATTTCATTTTACTTAGCTTACATTTAAGTTTAAATAGCCACATGAGGCTAGTAGCTACTGTATTTTTAGTGAAGTTAAGCCTGCCAGTAGCATCAAGTTACAATTAACAGTCTGACAATAGTGAATTTGAATAAAAACCATACAAAGCAAACTCAAGAAGCACAGCAGTTCAGGGACATGTGAGTAGGGAAATTAGGTATAACCCCTATAGTCCCTGCGGGTGTCACAGGAAACAAGAAGTGGTGATTTTTAACGGTAATTTTCAAAGTTAAGAAATTGAATTTCATGCCACCCTCTGATCACAATTATTTCAGGCCCAGAAAATCCATCTAATTGTCCCCAAATACAATAACATGTAAAAGACAACTTTTCTTACCTGCCATCACTCCATAGGTTGATGGCTGGTTTCCATAATGACAGGAAGGAACAGAATAATGAAGTCCTGTTGCTGTGTTTCCCAACGTTGTCACCAAGAAATGCGTGCACAAACATTTAGGAGTTTGGATCAAAGACAAAATAGATGGGACTGGTAAGAAAATGTATAAGGATTCAAGACACATTCATTTTATTTCAAAAATACACATTTATGTGGTTCTTAAAGTTATATACCAATATTTTTTCTCATTTTGGGTAAGTTCTGTGATGAATAGGTTAAAACTAGGGGGGATCAAAGTTTGTCTCATGTAATGAGATAATAAATCATCAAAACGAACTTCATTAATTATCCTGTGCCCTGTGCTGTAGTGATGAGTGCCTCATGAAGGGGTGACTGAGCAATTTGGACCTTGGTTTTTTGGGAGTTGTAGAATTCTTGTAGGTTCTGTTCAATGCAAACATTGCAACTCGCCGACTAGAAGAATAGTCCTTTAAAATTATTGTGTTGCATGATATTATAAAGCAGTCTGTATGAATGAATACAGAAACTATCTCTTGAACAGTGTATTTTTGCTTATTTGTCTGATGAATTTGCTTCATCCAGGTGGAAATGGCAGAGCAACTAACATTTTATTAGATACAATCATAAAAATCTCACCAATTCAGAGTGCTATTAAAAACCCGTAACAATATATGATCTATTTATTTTGATGTTGAAACCATGAGGTTGTAAGTTGTCTGCATATACACAATTGATACAACCATTTCAATGATAAAGCTGATCAAAAAATAAGTTCATTCATTGGGTGACTTAACATCCATAAAGCCATAAAGCCATATATAAACGTAACTATTCATAAATGGTTGTATGCTTCAGGAAATCAATGTGTATTTTGAAAGTAAATTGGAATTATTAGACTTTTATTAAGTTTTAAACACAAATCATCAAGTTGAAAGGGAGTGCAAAATATTGACAATAAAACCACTGGTCAGTATTTCCTTATATATTTTATTTTCTCAATTTTTTCCTTCATATTTTGAATATATTGGTTAGTTTTCATAAACATAACTATCTTCTTTAATAAATGAGATGTTATAAAGTACAGTTAGAATCCTTTGAGAATACCGATATACAATCTAGTGATTAAAGACAGACTTCTCTTCATAAAGTAAAATATATTACTTTAAAATAGAGAAAAATGTTTAATTTTTAAAAATCTGTATGGATTTTTATTTTATAACTTATAAGTCAAAAGAACTAAAGTCATTTTGCAATATAATGATTACATATAAAAGTCTTACTGTGCATTCCAAAATTAAACAAATTATCATTAAGCACATTTAATACTCAAGTGTTCCCATTTAAGTCAGTGTTTCTATAATAGTTCCTTAGAAAATTAGATGTATATGATTAAAACTTCATTAAAATATTATAAATCAATGCTATTATCATTTAAAACATTTGTAGGTCACTTTTATTAATTATAATTATTTTTTAATTTTAAGGCTTAAATAATGTTTGCGTTTCAGATTTTAGGAAGTTAACTACAGGATAGGCGAATTTACTAAATAAATTGTTACTTATTTTTAAGTAAATAAATGGCATTTTGAGCATAAAATTAGATTTTACTAGATTATTACCTCAATTCTGAATTTTACTTTCATGCTGGCCAAAGTATCTTCAAACACAGAAATAATGTATTATTCTCATTATCCTCAACCTACAGGATGACCTACTATTTAAAATATATGATTAGCTATGTGTTAATTGCTTAGATTTATTCATAGCATATATTTTTGATAAAAAATCTTTATTATCTTTTCCAAAAATTATGCTGGAGGATACTTCCTATATTACCCTTTACATTAAATTATAGAAATCTTTGGTGGATTTCCATAATTTAATTTAAAAGGTAATATTGAAAAATTTCTACATTAAATGATTTTACCAAAGTCTAAATATCTGACCTCTAGATTCTTTAAAATCCAGAAGATTGGTGCCAAACTTACACATATATTTAGAAAGTGCTTAATAATAATAAAAGATAGAGCTTAAATCCTTCAAATCAGAATATAAATGTATCAACTCTAATTTTGATTTCTAAATGTATATAATTTCATTCCTAAATATGAGGCAGGTTGCATTTAAAACAAATGGAATGTAAATATTATATTGCTATTCAATGGAAGAAATTTACTCAATTCAAGTCTTTGTCCATTTGTAAATCAACTTTAATACACTTTTTTACTGCATAAAGAATGAACACATTGGCAAAACATACGTATTTGGCTGATTGTGTTGAGCCTTTGAATTCTTAAGTTTAATTTTTGTTTTAAAAAGTTATGTGACATAAATGTTAAAACATGGTTATAAGTGAAGTAAGTCTCTTCAGAACGCAGTCTTGAGAAAATTTACCTTAGTTAATGCGCTTTAAATGCTGTGTTATTCGTGGCTATAATTTCTGTATCTTATGCTAAAAATATGTTAAATAAAACTCCATTATTTTATTCTATGAAATCCATTGTTGTTGATATTTGGATTTTTCTGTCATGTTTAATATAAGGTTTATAGCTGTTTTTAGATTGTAGTAAATGTAATTTAACAACCAAATAAATCTTTAAGATAAAGAAGTAGCACCTTTTAAACATTGCGTTATTTTATAATATTCATCTCATTTGCTCCTTATTCTATAAATATTTCCATTAAATGGCTTTTAGATTTAAAATGTCCAAGTTCACTCTTTCCTTATGTAGAAAACAGATTTTCTTCCTTATAACAAAGCCAACAATGATTTAAATGACTATACTTACTAATATTTCTTTAAAAAATCTTTGGCATGTTGACTTTTTAGATATGCTTAATACTTACTTCACTTAAGACAAATTAAATTGGAGGGGTAAAATGAAAGAAGGAAAAAGATTTTTAACTACCAAGATTCAAAGCATTCATTCTGAAATCTTTAGGCCCCGCCAGCTGTAAACTGTCATAGGACTCAGTACCTGTAGACATCACATTGGTGGCATGGTTGGAGACTGGTAGACACTCGGCAGCACTGTGATGCATTATCAGAGGCAGGGTTGCAGAGGCGTCAGAATTCAGGGGTATAAAGGTATCAGCCGAAGTAAAAGCTTGGCAACTCATTCCCACAAGAGAGTAGAAAAATAAGGAGAACCGCTGCTCCCCAAATCAGAGTTTTATTATATTACTGTCTCAAAGGGCCGATTCAATTCTCACTACCTGCATATATACATCAGGAAGGCTCTGAGGCACCAGGAGGGTGCGCGCTAGTATTTATATTGCAAGGAAATCCCTTTATACATGTTAATAGTCTTTTCCCAGGAGTATTGCTTTATCAATCCGAACCGTCTTCCTTTTTTACCCAAACATAATCCATGGCAGAAAAGGAAGCTGATTCTGGGGTATAGATGGAGGGGAAGGGAGAAATCTGAAACCTTATTTGACAACTTCAGTAGTTCAGACCTTTTAGAGAGGAATCAACAACTTTGAAAACGTGTCCCTCAAAAAAAAAATGCCACTGTAAACTGAAAAATAGTAGGTGTCTTTTTGCTACTAACACGATTGCGAATGTATAAATATGAGATGTTTTTAAACAACTTCTCATTAAATCTGTGATATAACATGAAACAAAGTGCACACTATTATACATAACTTTAAGAAACTGAATATTTAAGATTATATTGAGAGAAGCGTATAAGACTAAATATGAGAAAATATGTTGTCAATTACTGATTCATACTCAACAATGCACAGCTTTTACAATGAGATCACTTGGACTCGGGAAGGGGAACATCACACACCGGGGCCTATTATGGGGAGGGGGAGGGGGTAGGGATTGCACTGGGAGTTATACCTGATGTAAATGACGAGTTGATGGGTGCTGACGAGTTGATGGGTGCAGCACACCAACATGGCACATGTATACATACGTAACAAACCTGCACGTTGTGCACATGTACTCTAGAACTTAAAGTATAAAAACAAACAAACAAACAAAAAACGATGACAACCAATATATGTTTTACTATATTAGAATTGGAAAATGGAAAAAAATTGGATAAAATATAGTAATGATAGGTTGTTGCAAAAGTGATTACATTAATGGCAAGAACCGCAATCACTATTACACCAAAGTTAAATACAAATAAGATATGGGTAATTGTATCTTTACCTCGATTTCAATTTACTCATCAAGAACCCAATATTTAGTAAGCTGTAACTAGATGCTGACAGTATTCTAGGTATTTATACAGTTATGTCATGCAAATCTCACAACATCTATGTGAGTTATGTACCTTGCCATTCTCACTAAGCTAGACTCTGCCAGAGGCTGAGATCTCGGTGATTCCTCCACAAAGCCTGAGATAACCATGGTAGTTGCTAACTAGATGCAAACTTCTCACACAAAATATTTTGACTTTATATGAGAATAAAAAAAAATACGCTACAGCCAACTATTTCAAAGATAAATATCAGCATCAAAATCTTACAAATTATGAGTATATAATGAGTAAATAAAGTACTATTTATGTATTGTATGTTAAGGTAATATAGCAAATAGAAGTAATTGAACAGGAATAGATATTATTGATGTGAGTCGACACTAATTTTGTACTATGGAATATTTTAAGATAATTTGGAATTGGTTGCTTTGTGTCAAATTTAACATTAATATTGATATGACATTTTCAAAAAATTGAACACTTTGTCAGTAAGTAGCTGGTATTTTGAAGGAAAATATATAAAAGCTTGCCCAAATCATTAGATATGGAATGAAAATATTTATTCTAAAAATGACATTTTTTTCATTCCGAATTCTATATCTTTGAAGCTCTATTAGTCTTTTCTAATGAGAGAAAGTTTCAAGTAATCAAAAGCATTATTGAACCCTTGCAGAAATCTGATCGTTTTCAGACTTCACATATACAAAAAAGTGATTCTCAGTATTCTATTTGGAGTTTCTGTTAAGAAAATTAAATAAAATATGTTTATTGGGTATCATGTATGTTAAAAATTAAATAATATTTATAGAAAATAGATTTTGAAAATGTCCCTTAATAATTTTACTATTGTTATATAGAGTCATTGGAATATGTTGTTTATGTATGTTGTTTATGTTTGTGAAAAATATACTTTATGAAGTATGCTGAAGATACTTTATGAAGTAGCATAAAATCTGCCTAGCAAACAATATAAAAATTTCCCAGTTATTTACCATGATATCTAAAAATTTTTAAATTGCAATCTTAGAATTTCTTCCATAATGATTTTTTAAAATTAAACACCTGTTCTGTTAAAATGAGGTAAAGTCAGGAAATAAATGTTTCCATTACAGTCTTCTACTATATAATATGTCCATAGGATTACCTGGGATGTACCCCTTTAAGATAGATTCTTAAAAGTAGAAATACTAAGCTTAAGTCTTACAAACTTTTAACATCTTGAAAACATTACTAACTTGCATTTTCGAATAATTAATTATATTATGAATTTGATGTAAAATATCAGGAATAAGTCCTCGAGCAAAAAAAGGATATTGCTTAGTGATCAGGAACTGGGAGTTCCTGGCACTTCAAGAAAAGAAGGATGTCAGGGCCACAGAGAAGACTGAATAGAAAGATTGAGGGGCACACCCTCTCTGTCACTCTTTCGCTAAGTGGCTTTTTTTTTTTTTGTCTCTCACTTTTTTTCCTGTCTCTTAGGGGAATAGCTTATGGTGATTCTCCAGCCACGGAGTGCACCTCGACAATCTCCATGAGTTCTACCGGCCTTAAACTTCAGAAGAGACAAAAGACTTCTTGCTTGTAGCTTCTCAGTCGACATGTTAGAGAGTTTTTTTTTTTTGATTTTTGTAGTGGTAGGTCCTTCGGACTCGTGTCCACCCAGGCTGAGTTGCATATTGTGCGTTGAGTCGTTGGCTCACCGCACTCTGCCTCCCGGTTCAAGGGGGACGACTTCTTCTGCCGCTCCATGAGTGCTCCAAGTAGTTGGATTACAGGCGCTTAGCGCAGCCCAACCCGGCTTAATTTTTGTTTATTTTTGGTGGAGATGGCGGGGTTTCACCATGTTGGCCAGACTGGTCTTGAACTCTGACCTCAAAT